GATGCCCTGGTTATCAATGTCTTATCAGAAATGCTAGGCGTACAGGTGAGTAAAGCACATCTAGACAGATCTCATCGACGTGGACGAAGAAATCCTCTATCAGGTACAAGACCAAAGCCTCGTCCGGTGATAACAATGTTCGTCTCATACAATACTCGATCGGACGTTTTTCGCCAGAAGCGTAAGCTTAAAGGCACGGGAATGCATGGGTATCACGGAAAATTTGACAAAGCAACGGATGATTTGTATAAAGCAGTGTGTGAGCATCGGAATGTTTCATCAGCTTGGTCAATAGACCGTACGATCATTGCATTGCGAAGGGACAATAAAAATAAAGTTGTAATTGAGCCCCCTGTAGATTTACATATACTCTAATGGTGTGTGTTTGTTAATTTGTGTGTTAATATTTGCTAATCAAGGGTAAGCAAATATTGGCCTGGGCTGACGTTAATAGCTGTAGACGTTAATATCTGTAGCCTTAATAGCTTAATTTATAGTAAAGCTGAAGCTATAACTCTTGTCCGAGGATTTGCTTCGGCAATCGCTTATTGTTTCACGTTTGAGCTTGATTGTTTTATTCATTGTTTAACCTCTCTTTAGCTTTGATTAATCGCTTGGTGCAATGCTGCATTTTTGAGTACCTTGAATACTTGCTTTGATTTAACATTTAACGCATTTAACCAATTGTTTGATTAGTTTCGGTGCATGTCTTGTTCAAAATGTGGTGAAAAAATGATTGATTGTACCAGGAGTGATGAGTCTATTTTAATTTTTAATTTTTTAAATTTATAAACTTTGCCGATGAAACAGTACATTACATGACAGGACAAAAACAAACGTACATAATGAAATACAATAGGTACATGACCACGGCTGGGTGACCGCAACAGCGAATAGCCAATTACTGCGGGCCCGACACAAAACTATCATTACACACATATATATATATACACATACATGCGTTACAGGTGTGATCTTGTTTACAGTTCAACTGCAACACGATATTGGACGTAACAGGCTTCGAATACAATTACATTTCAGACATATACTCTTAAATGTTCGAGAGTTTTCAGGATCATAATTAATGTTCAGTGATGTAAAGTAATACTTGAGCAGATCTGATTTAAATACAGTCTCGTTTACTTTCTCGCATGGATATAAGTGCTTTACCAACAAATATACCTCATCTCACGAAATCTAATATTGACTTGCATATCCCACATGATATTAACTTCAATTTATTATACCACACACGAATTTCATAATGATCAAGAAATTAATCATTGTTTTAGCGGTCGCGATTCATTCTCTGTTCTTAATTGTAATATTGAATTTAGCTGAAAGTTTTGATGGTTTGGTAAATATGCTCTCAGAAATGTATTTCCAATTCTCCATAATCGGGTATACTGAGATTAAGTTTAAAGTCAATCAGGACTCCATAATTAATTGCGACTTACCTGGCTACAAATTTATTTCCCAGCCAAGTTACTCTAATAGTGGGGGATTGGATTTTTTATTAAAGATAATTTACAATTCAAAATTAGAAACGATTAAACATTATCCACGAATGAATTTGAAGCAATTTGGATAGAAATCGAGGGAAATGGCAATCAAAATATGCTTTGTGAGTATAGACACCATAATGGTAACCTTGACGTTTTTCCAAAATTATTTGAACTCCATCTTAGATAAAATTCATAGACCAAATAAAAAGTGTTTGATTTTGGGCGATTTCAATTTGGATCTTCTAAAATATGAAACTCATACTGGACAGACGAATTTCTAAATAATATAGGCACATATTTTTTCAGCCACATATTTACAACCAACACGGATAACTGACCATACAGCTACTCTTATAGACAATATTTTCTATAATGCCTTGGAGCACTTCACATTAATTAAGTGGCAATATAATTTACGACGATGCAGATATTTGATTCTTTAAATGTAAATCCTCGAAATCTTCGATCCCTGACGTGATGAAGTTGGAAGGTCAGAAACTTTTTTCTGCAAAGGAAAAAGCGGATGGCTTTAACCAATTTTTTACGTCAGTCTTCACCTCCGACACAAGTTCTTCACCTCTTTACACTCCCTCTAGTTCAGCTTCTAACTCTCTTGACTCATTAAATGTATCTGAATCCGATGTTCAGTCTTTGTTGTCCAATTTGTCACCCTCTAAGGCTACTGGTCCAGATGGTATTCCAGCTTATCTTCTAAAGCGATGTTCTGAGGTAATTTCCCCTTCTTTGACTGCTCTCTTTGAGTTATCTCTTCAGCAGGGTGTTTTTCCTTCTGAATGGAAAGCTGCTAATGTCGTGCCTATACCCAAAAAGGGTGACACTCATGAGGTCACTAACTACAGACCAGTTTCCTTACTCTCTCAAGTCTCAAAAGTTCTCGAACGTTTAATTTTCAGGCAGGTTTCTTCTTTTGTTGAAAACTCCTTGTAAGGAAACAGACCTGATTTATCTCGACTGTGCTAAAGCGTTTGACTCGGTATCCCATAGCAAACTTTTGTTCAAACTTAAATCGTTTGGAATCTCAGGTCCACTTCTTAACTGGTTTGCTGATTACCTTCGTGATCGCAAACAGTGTGTTGTCGTTGAAGGAGCTTCCTCGCCTTTTCTTAATGTTACCTCTGGGGTGCCACAAGGTAGTGTAATAGGTCCACTTTTATTCATTCTTTATGTAAACGACCTTCCCGAGCTAACCAATAATAGTACCGTTGCACTTTTTGCTGATGACAGCAAGTGTTATCGTGCTATACGATCACCAGTTGATCGTGGTCTTCTTCAGCTCGACCTGGACGCTATGTCGAACTGCATGGTCACTTAACTGGAAAATGAAATTTAATGTCTCGATGACGCTCCAACTTAGGATATCTCGCAAACGTAACCCTCCAACTCATTGCTACTTTCTTAACAACGATCCAGTTAAGAGCATAGCTAACCAAGTACTCTTGGGTGTTGTTATCAGCAATGACCTAAAGTGGTCCCCTCACATCGCCAGCTGCACTGCAAAAGCCAATCGTATGCTTGGTTTTCTTCGTAGGAATTGTACGCAAATGTCTGATATTCGCTGCCGTAGGCTTCTTTATCTTGCTCTCGTCCGATCTCATCTGTCATATAGTAGTGAGATCTGGGCACCTCAAGGATCGTCACGTGATCTTGCGATCATCGAGGGTGTTCAAAGACGAGCTAGTAAATTTATCCTTCAGGATTATGAGTTGCCATATCCTGAACGCCTTAAAAAGCTTAATCTATTACCAATATCCTACTGGATGGAACTAAAGGATCTCGTCTTCTCTTTTAAATGTAAGCACGGTCTCTTCGACCTAGATATCTCCTCTTTCGTCACTTTTTCTTCAAACAGCTCATCTCACACCCGTTCAAGTTCTCTCGTTAGGAACTTTTTTTCAACCGAATTGTCTTTCTCTGGAATAATCTCTCTCCCGCCATTCGTAATAGTTCATGCGTTTCCTCCTTTAAAAACAGACTAACTGTTCATTACTCTTCTCTACTTCATTCATCTTTCGATGTAAACAGAATGCGCACTTGGAAAACCTTCTGTTCTAAGTGCCGCTCTTTCAACTTAAGCTGTTGTTCGTAATTCGTCATGTTTTCTGTAAATTTTATATTTGTTATCGTCTTTGATTTATGTTTGTTATAGTTTGTTTTCATTAATTAAGGTTGGTCTTCACATGGGGTATTCATGTCCTGTTGACCATACCTTCAACCATATTATGCAGTGTTTTAATCTATTTTATGTATGGTTGTAAAGTTAATAAATAGATAAATAAATAAATTTGCCTAATTTTATAATTATTAAATAAATGTTCATGCCTAACATCTAATGTTAAGAAATATAAGAGGGATTATTCGAAATTTAATGAAACTGATCTATTAAATGAGGTACAAGCTGTTGACTGGCAAGAAGTTCTTGGTAGTCATGGTTTTGAACCCTCGTTAATGTTTGATTAATTTTATGCAAAAGTTTCTTCTATTACCGATAAGCATATTCCTATTAAGTAATTATCAAAAAAGAGCGCCAAATCCAATCTAAAACGTGGATAACATCAGGTATAAAGAAATCCATTCACAAGAAGAATACCTGTTATCAAAGATACTTGAAAACGAAGTTTCAACAAAATTATTTAAAATTTAGAAATTAAAGAAATAAAATATATCATTTGATCCGAATTAGTAAAAAAAATATTACAACCTCT